GATTCCTAGCACTTAGATAAGTGACAGGGTGGGATGTGTTTAATGCAGCTATGCGGCATCATGGAGTGATAAGTACAAGGATAAGGATCAAGAGAGAAGTTGGACAACGTCCAATCAATTGCCATCATCTAGAGATTTTATGGGGGACTTTCTGGTCTGGCGACCTCCAACTGGACTGGAGAAAAATCGAGCTTTTTGGTTTGCTTTAGCTTTGTGGATGGGATTGGTTGGAGTTGCCCTTTTTCTACAAAGATGAATCATACTAAACACACAATCACCATATTGTAACTATTGTACATGAATTGTTCGTTTGATTATGTATGCATTCCTCAATATACCACCATGCCAATGCCATCTTGACATTATTGTATGTATGAATCAGTAAATTTGCTTGCTTATTCTTAACACTATTTTTTGAAGCATGTTTCCTTGGCTGTATGAAATACAAGCCCCCCAATACTTGAAGGCATCTTCAACCTTTCTTGAGCAAGCATCTTGTGTTAAAATTGTTGAAGGATGAGAGCGTGGTTATGACCTCATCTGGCTCAAATGATATGCAGGATAGCCAGTGATATATCATAACTTGTCCAAAAGTGTGTCTATAATGTGTAGAGGTTTTCAGTGATTCATCAATGCATCATAATAGCATATTGCGATAAAACTAAGCTATAAATGTGGCATGGGCGACAGTTAATGCTCAAATCCACCTTAAACGCATCTGACCAGCACGTATCAAGTTCCTTTCCATCAGAATTACCTTTCTTCGGATATATTTTTGGTTCTAGAAGCGGGTGGCTAGGGGAAGACATGTGGTACCTATATTTGTTAATGGTTTGGTTTGTTCGGTTTGAATTATAAAAACCAATCAAATTGAGAAATTTAAATTTTTGAAAATTCAAACTAGTTCGGTTTGGTTAATTTCGGTGGATTTGCTATAAAACTGGAAAATCTAATCATCCCATCAATGAAGGCCTCTTCTAAATTAGGTTGAAATTAACAAACTATAAAGGGAAAAAAAAAAAAGAGAAGCAAAACCACTAAATCTTGTCATCGATTGATTTCAGATTTCAAGAGGAGGTTACGTACTTCAACATGGTAAAACTGAAAACTCATTTAAATTCCTGACACTTAAACCCTTATAAAACAATAACTAATACCACTAAGTACATATGATTTTTTATTTCTACCCCAACCCTTTTTTATATATAAATTTAACCATACAACTAGTATTAAAAAATCATAGCTATTAGCATCAAGCAACTGCTGGGTTCTCATCAGAGAAAAAAACATTAGATTTAAAAGAGAACCCTTCTTCTTACGATCAGCAGAATCATCATCACCATCGAGATCTTGAATAGGATCATACTTATCCATGGAAAAACAAGCCTTGTTAAGGAAGGATTTGAAAGCCATCTCAATAGCTTGCCACTCAAATGCAAGAGCCCTAAATACAACCATTGCATGTAGTTGAAAACTTGAAAGGAAAAAGAAGAATAATTTTTGAGATGGAGAGATGGTTTGCACAATTTACATTGCAGTCTTTGCACAAACAACGGTTTTTTGTTAGGGTAGGAGAGTTTGTGAAGGCAAGGGAGAGAGTGATTATGTTAGGTAGGGTTAGGTTAATTAACTATTTATACTCTTTGGCTGACAGCGAGTTCTTATGATTTTTTAATTGGTTTGATCTGGTTTGTCGGTTTTTTAACTAAAATCAAAACCGAATCAGACTGTTAAAATTTATAGTTTTAAAAATTGGTTTAATCGGTTTTTTATTTCGGTTTAGTTTTTTCGGTTATTTTTTTTGGATTTCTTCATTGATCGGTATTTTTTAACACCCCTAGTAGTACCAATCATTCAAACACTTAATCTCTAGATATTAATGTTAGTTTAATATGTCTTTTAGTTAATCGATTGGTTATTTCTATGTTATTATATTCATATATATATATATACATATTATTAATAAAAGCTTAATTTATTTTTAATATTTATATAATATTAAATTAATGAATCTAGAGTTAAGATAAAGTACATAGAATAAAAATACTTTGCAAATAAAATTATAAAGTTTTTATAATTATGATATTCATATTACATCAAATCATTAGTTTTAAAATATTCTTGGTCGATACTCTCTTAGATACTGGACATTTATTATAGCCATAAAATCTAATACATATTATGTTTTTTTTTTTTTTATGAAAGGAAGAAGTTATTCTCATAAGCTGAAATATAAGGGATACCTAGAACTAATATGTAAATATTTGTCATAAGACATGTATACTAAACTAACTCGCATGAGAATTTTATATGAAGAAATCATTTATATCTATGGAAGATGCATATGATGGTTGTATAAGTAATCATTAGATTTGATATCATTAAGTTATCTTATATAGAGAATGTTATACTTTGATCTTATTACATGTTATCTTAATCGAGATAATAAAAGGGCAGACATTAGATATAACATGAACTATATAAAGGTACTTGAGTGATCAAGAGATAATTCATTACCGTAAGTGAATTAGAAAAAATATTTCATTTGTTTTTAAATATTATTGGCTAAAAAACCTTGACTAATGTGGAATAAAATTTGAAAAGAGTTTTAAATCATATTCAAATTATCAATGACTATTATGTAAAAAACAAACATGATTTAACATGACAAATATACTTCATGTTTTAATGTTAAATTAGAACATTATTGATAAAATGATATTAATTACACTGAGAAACTTGTCACAAAAAGGTTAAATCAAATCACTAATGACGTTTCTAATATTTGAAGAATCATGATATGTTGTTAAATGATGCATTTAATTTTTAAATATAAATTAATCAATTATTTAATTGGTAATAAATTGAATTTTTTAATTTATTTAATTCTATTTAATTATAATTATAATTTATATTTAAACCAATATATTATGAGCCTAATGAGTTATACACATTAAGAATCATTAGTCATAAATTAAATTGAAATTATTTAATTAAGTATGACTTGATTAAAAATATTTTATAAATTAAGGACTATAGTATAATTAATACATGGATTATATTTCTAGACCTAGAAAAATCAAGGACTTTATTGAGTTAATTTTTAAAATTATCATGAATTAATATATGAATATTATTCAGACCGTAAATTGATATTTTATCCATTTGTAGAGTTTTTTAATTTTTTCTATAAATAGTAAGTGATACTTCTTATTTTTAAGAGTTGTTGTTTATTAGATAAGAAACTATATAAATACAAAAATAGAACTAGTGTTCGAAGCATAACAATCCCTATATTCTAAATAGGAATTTAGAAGATTTTTCATTGGTAATTCGTGTGAATTATTATTAGAAATTGAACAATTAAATAACTTATAGTTTGCAACAATTTAGCTTTAAAGAATTATTTATAATTAAAAAAAATTAAAACTTTAATAAATAAATCCTAAACTTTCAAATAATTTTATATTATAACATCCACTGCTAGGTGTTTGTTATTTAGAAAAACCAACAACAGGTACGCTTTCTTACATGTCAATATTCTTGAACTTGAAAGTTCAAAACATACACTGCAAGCTTTTGCTAGTTGTTTGTTTGTGCCACCATGAGCTTTATTGTGTTTCTTTGTTCAGTTTTCTTTTCTTTAGTGTTCTCCTGTCGAATGCAGGTCAGAGATTTTGAAATCTCTAATGGAAGTCAAGCTCAAGTGATGATTATGGCCTCTCACCATTAGAAGCAAATATGAAGCCACCCGTACGTACAGAGCCCAAAGTTTCATGTCCAAAATTAAATTACATGAGAAACTGGTGAGGAATGTAATATTGAAAACAATTTATTGGACACTTTAATATTAACATTTTGTAAAGTAAAAACAATTTATTGGACACTTTAATATTAATATTTCGTTTATTTATTAAAAAGTAGTTTTTAAAAAAATAATTTTTTTAAAAATAATTTTTTTTAATATTTGATAATCTCATAAAAAATAAATTAAAAAACACTCTCAAGTGTTTAGTTATATAATGAAAAATAATATAAAAATAACTTATTAATATTTTTTTTAAGTTTATTAAAATAATAAGGAGAAAATCTTATAAAATAAAAGTTGAACGAAAAAGAAATTAAAAAAATAATTTTATAAATTATCTTAAATAAAATAAATAATAATCAAAATAATAAATATCAAACCTAATAGATAAAAAAATCAAATGATGATGAAATTAAAATAATAATAATTATAATTTTATAAATTATTTTAAATAAAATAAATAAAATAAATAAAGATTAAATTTGATAAATAAAAACTCTCAATTAAAAAAATAATAAAAAATAATTTTTTATTCATCTTTAATCAACTGAAAATCAAGTCATCAACTTCTTAAAAAAAGAAAGAAAAAGAAACACTCTAGACCTCGACAAACTCATTTGTAATCTTAAATTAGCGTGACATTGGTTAAAATAAAAAATCAACCTTATTAAAAAAACAAGCTAGCGATGTTTTGCGTTGTCAATGTCAAGTGTTGAACAAAAACTTCTCACTTGCCTGTTAACCATGTGAAGAGGAAACTTTTTAACAGAATTGTTAATGTTTTATAGCTCTAAGAAACCTTCCTTTTCATGCAAATACAGCCATCTCTCTCTCTCATCAGGATAAACAACAAGATGCATGGAACTTTCCACTTAAAAATCCCCGCATCAAATGGCCCACATAAATGAGACCACTTGTATAAATTTGCAGGGGCAGGGCTTTCTTGTACAAAATGGCATTCTCTTCTCTTTATGCGGACACGACAAGGACGTGGACTTCACTCATGGAAGCCCGTGCCTCATCCTTCCCGCAATTCTTGATGTGCCACCAGCTCCTGAATCCTCTACCATATACTTACACGTGCCGTCCTCTTTGCGTCACCTGCTTATCCTTTTATTAACCCATCAGAGGAGGGGAGCCTTTATATAAACCAACCAGACCTCAAAATCTGCATGGAGAAGAGCCTTCAACCATGGAAACACTTATTTCTCCCACAAAAACACAACCTTTTTATTCATCAAGTCCTCTCCCACAAACCAAACGCCTTCAAAGTTTTTCTGATCCATTGACTAGCTTAAGGTTCAAACTCAGAGAGAGGCCTAATCAAGGTCTATGTTTGGCCCAAAGATTGAATTATTCGGTGCCAGCTAGGTGTCGTAAATGGGGTCCGGTGGTGGAGCTGGAAAGAGATATGGAGGCTGAAATGAACCTAGAAGGGGAAGGTGATTGGATTGTGGAGATTGGGAAGTTGAGAGAGGAATGTGAAGAAAGCAAAGGAATGGTGGAGCTGCTGGAATGCTTGGAGAGAGAAGCAATCATGGGAGATGATGAGGGAAGAGACCCTACAGATTACAACAGAAGAGCTCAGATTTTTTACAAAAGTTCTCAAGTTTTCACAGCTCTAAAAGAACGTAGCACACTTTCTCAATGCCAATCATGAATCCGGACTTGTGATTTTGTAATCATGCATGGTCATTGCTAAACTATGATGATTGTGTTATGTTTTAACTTATGAATGATGTCCTGTCCCTATTATTTCGAATCAACACAGAACCTCTGTCAAAGAATAAGCATGGCTTCTGCAGGTCATGAATCTAGAACTTTTAATTAAAAAAAGTTCAGCAAGACAATAACAACAAAGTAATAGAGAGATGATCTCAAGCCAAACTGAGTATCTTTGTTCCACTTTAAGCAACTGTCTTCTTGAGGGCTTGATCTGTTTTTCTCAAGAGATCCAGCAACATGCATCTTATGTTTTTTTTTTTTTCTGCGCCCCCCGCCCCCCGTATGGCTGAGGTCCCAATTCCATGAACATCCTAGAAATTCAACAGCAACGTCCGGGTCTCTGACGCACAGAATGATGTTACTGGTTAATTAGCCACTTGCGAGAATGAAATAAAATTTCTATCAAAGCAATAGAAAGGAATATCCACGGCTTAGACTTCAATGCTGTCGTCTTTCTCAACATTATGCTGTCAATAAATTTCACATGCCATTTTTCTCGAAAGAACAGCTGCTGCAGTGAAGATCAAAACACGTGATATTAGTATGAGTTACGACAAAGGAAAGGGATCTCTATGTTATATGCTATTCGTAATAAAGATTGAAACCAAAAAACAAAATGTCTGAAGAAGTTCATTTTTTAAAGATAAATTAAATATCAATAAATTATATTATGTTTTTGTTAGCTCAATAAATTCAATTCTCAAGTTTTAAGTCTATCTTCTTATACTTTCCTGAAAGATTCTATTTAAAAATTTGTTTTACCTGTTTGTTTTCTAGGAAAATACTTTACAAGGAATTTTATTATATAGCACTTTTTGTTTATATTTTTCCCCTAAAACATTTTGACATTTTTTTTAAGAAATTAATTAGAGATTTATAATTATTGACAATTTTATTCTTTGTAATTGTTATAATTATTACAAAAGGTTGAGAACACCTCATCATGCTATTGGTTATCAAAATTTTATTTTCAAAAAAAAATTAAGAACATGAGGAATTATATATATATATATATATTACTTTTTCTTTCATAATTGCAATCTAAAGAATAAAAAATAGATTACAATTATAAACTATTTTACATGTGAAAAAATCATGGTCATATATATAAGAAAAAAAAAGATTATTAACCATTTTACATGTGAAAGAAATCGAACATGAAGGACAAAAATATTAAGAATGGTTTTTTAAAAGTAAAAGAAAAGGAAAGAAAATCAATTAATTGGTAAGTATATAAAGATGGTAATATAGACAGTAAAACTAAATATGATTTTTCTTAAAAAAATTAATATAGAATTTACTAGTAATTTGACCTCAAAGTTCTTATATGATGCAAGTTTTTAACATGTAGAGGAACAAAATGAATAAGTAAAAGATAAATAAAGGACTGCATTAATCAGTAACGTTGAAATTGAACCAAGCAATAGGGTTATATGAACGCTCAACTGATAATAAATACATTAATAAAACAAATCAACGAATGCAATTTGTTTTCCCTTCAGAACTTGGAAACCAATAGGCAAAACAGAAACTTAAACTCTTCTCTCTAAAACACGCAAGCAAATTGTTGGTAATTAGATTAGACCCGGTAGATTAATGAATCCAAATATTTAAAGAAGTTACTAAAAAAATTAATTGTTTTCATTACTTATATTTATAGAGGCATAACCCATAATAAAAGTGTAGTTTTTCATTTGTTAAAAGAATATAATTCTTTCATTCTCTTCTTCTATCTTGGACTCTCTATATTAACTTGATAATATTTACAAAAGTATTTATACTATGAAATATTACTTTAGTTCTAGTAATGGAAGTGACACTAAAGAAATTAATATTAGAAAAAAAAAGCGAATTATCGCATCACAAGTAAGTTTCCTTTGAATTAGGCATTGATATCTAATTAGTACTTAAAAATGCATTTTTATCAAGGTTTTATATCATCATTTTACACTTGAAGTATCAATAACTCCTTAACTAAAGCATGTTTTATAATAACATATCTAATAATATAAGATACCTTTAATTTGTGGTAAATATTCTCCTTAACTAAAGCATGTTTTATAATAATATATCTAATAATATAAGATATCTTTAATTTGTGGTAAATGTTTATTTTAAATGCAGGCCTATCACATAAATGAAAGGATTGATTGATGAATTTAAGAACTGAAATTGAAAGGACAAAGAGATGGCCAAACTTAGAAAAGAGATGTCGGTGCAATCCAAACCGGAACACTGTTTGGTAATTGTGTCATATCTGGAGTTATAGATTTTAGATTTAGGTCTACTTTATATGGATGAAAAGGTAAGACATAGACCTACAACTTTTATATGGAGCCCAAGATTTGAAAATGCCATTTTCAAGTCCAAATTGTAGCAACAACAAAGAAGTCTGAATTTGTCTTTCAGCCCAAGCACTGTTCAGTGTTTAGCCCATATCTGGAGTTCTAGGAGTCCAAATGAGCTGAAGTTTTTACACAACAAAGCTGAGATAATTTTCTACAACTTTTATGTTTTCAAGTGGCTCCAATTTTGACGTTATCAATGATGTTTTGGGCAGATAAGAGAAGATAAGAATTGTCACCAAGTCAAGAGTTGATCATTCACTCATCAATTATTCATCCAATCAATAGTTCCCAATTTTGGCCTATAAAAGGAGGCATTTGCCATGCATTTAGGCATCTTGATTTTCAGATCAAGATCATGCTTTTGCTTTCTCTCTTTGTATTTTTTGTAGTGTTTATGCTTTGCTTTCATTAATATCAAATTTATGCCTTTCATTTCCTTTCATTTACTTAGTTAACTTTAATCTTATTCATGTTCTTATTTTATTTATTTATTTTTCTTTCTTTCATTATGTCTAGCTAAGTTTATTATGTCAAGGTGAAAAGGTTACACTAATGATGTAAGAATAAGTATAGTGTAAACTTAATATGGATTTTAATGTTTGATACTAACATGTTTTATATTTGTTATCTTGTTCACTCTTTAATACTTTACTTGTTAAATGACTAATCTTGATTTATGGTGTATGACACTTGGTACAACAAATGCTTGGCACTTTCATAGCCTATATTGTATGGTCTAACCGACACCTGAGCTATGAAAGGAACTTGATTTGTTGTTAATATAAGTTATAATCATGAATGCTTGACGAGATTTACAAGTATTAGCATTAATCGAGTAAGATGACTAATGTAATCATGTTAACAATCTATAATCTAATTGGAACCTCCTTTTTGTGTGGTTTCCAATTGAATAATAAGAGTTTATATTATACTTGTTTGACATACCATTAGTGGAATCTCTAACCTTGACATTTGTTATTATCATTGTTTAATCTTTACATTAATTTTCCATCTCCAACTTCTCATCATCTTCTTCTTCTTCTCTTTCTTTATTATTATTATTATTACTACTACTACTACTACTACTACTACTACTACTACTACTACTACTACTACTACTATTATTATTATTATTATTATTATTTGTTGTTGTTATTGTTATTGTTATTGTTATTGTTATTGTTATTGTTATTGTTATTGTTATTGTTATTACTAATAATATTGTTGTTGTTATTATTATTATTATTGTTATTGTACTATTGTCATTTATAATTTGTACAATTAACCTCCCTGTGGTTCGACCCCGGTCTTGTAGGGTTATTTATTACTTCGAGACTCCTGCACTTGGGAGAAGACATCAATCTTTTCGTCGTGTCAAGTTTTTGGCGCCGTTTCCGGGGAGGTAAGTTCTTGTATAAATTATAGTAGTTATTTTATTTTCTCTTTTCACTTTTCTTGTATATAACTTTGTTTCTTTTCTCTTGTTTCTTCTTCTGTTGTTTTCTTCTTCCTTTTATTCTATTCCTACACGTGCATGAGAGTGTGGTCACGTACATCAAGTGGTAGACTTTGTAGGGTATCCTCATCATTTTCAGAAAATATGGCCGAAGAAGATAATCAATCACTTCATAATGAGAATAATGAGAATAACCGTGCTAGAACACTTAAAGACCACATGAATCCCACAAGAACAAGTGCACCATCATGCATAGTTTTTCCCCCCGATGCATCTCATTTTAATTTTAAACCAGGTATTATTCAACTTTTACCTTCTTTTCATGGCTTAGAATTGGAAAATCCATACTTGCATTTAAGAGAATTTGAGGAGGTCTGCAGCACGTACAATAATTTAAATTGTAGCATGAACATCATCAAATTAAAGCTTTTTCCTTTTTCATTAAAAGATAAAGCTAAAACATGGCTACAATTTTTAAAGAAGTTTTTCCCATCTCACAGGAAAAACTCTTTCAAAAGACAAATCACTACTTTCACTCAAAAACCAGGAGAAACATTTTACCAATGTTGGGATAGGTATCGAGACTTGCTTAGTACTTGCCCTCATCATGGTTTTGAAACATGGAGATTGGTTTCATATTTCTATGAAGGGTTAACACCTAAAGATAGGCAAATGGTTGAATTGATGTGCAATGGAACTTTTGAAGATAAAGACCCTAATGAAGCAATGGAGTACTTAGACTTGTTAGCTGAAAATGCTCAAAATTAGGACACCACGGGTACTTATGAGGCACCGAGTAAAATTCAACCTCATACATCTAGTGAAGGTATGTACAACCTTAGGGAAGATCATGACCTTCAAGCCAAGTTTGCATCTTTAGCTAGAAAAGTCGAGGCACTAGAATTGAAAAAGAGTGGTCAATTAAAATCTGTTGAAAACATTGTGTGTCAAATTTGTGAAACAAATGAACACTCAACCAACGATTGTCCAACCTTGCCTTCTTTTAAGGAATGTCTCCATGAACAAGCCCATGCTTTAAACAGTTTCCAAAGGGCCAACCACAACCCATACTCACAAACATACAACTCTAGTTGAAGAAATCACCTAAATTTTAGTTGGAAGAGTGAGAAC